GAGCAAAAGGGTTGGTAATCTGGAGGTATACTATCGTGTATTTGGGAGTTTATCAGAGATAAACCTGCTAGCTCATCGAATTCGGATTAGTAGACTTCGCTGGCGAGGGCGCGTATTACGTATGTCCAGTTGTCGTCTACCGCACCACACTTTATTCTCTGTAGCTAATCCGGGGCGGAGGAAACCACGTGGTCAACATATGACGTGGAGACGAGGCATGGAGAAATGCACAGGGCGATTAGGTACAGTGGGTGTCACGCACCTTCCAGTTGGGTGTCCGAAAGACTCTACAACTGGATGGTTGGAGACATTGAAGGATATGTCAGCGGACCGACAGCAGTGGCGTTCTTGTTGTCATTTCTCATCGGGCTTGAAACGGTATAAATACGGAGTTCGATTGTGTACTCTGTTGACCATAGGGATTCACTTTCTTCTCCCTCCTTCAAAATTGGTTCAATCCCTGTCCACCTTAAATATTACCCCTAATCCTATATGTATTGCAAGTTTGGTAGCGATCACTAAAGTTTGGTTCCTTGTTTTTCGGTCTGTGACAACGATGATGATGATATTTGTGTGGTCAGCGATTGTTTTGTTGAAGACTTGGACTCCATGAAGAGCTTGACGATTCACTAATGCCATCACCAAAAAGAAAATGAACTTCAGACAGAGTTTCCAAGCAATGGCTTGTAATTGAAGAAAGACCGACAAATAACAGGGTGGTTCGATTTCGGTGGCAATGTGAGAAAAAACCACGTTCACCACCAAGTGATTGATATCTCTAGGTTACCATATAAATCAATAAAGTCATGACCAAGTAAACATTTTCATCAGTTGCTCAGAGTTTTCCTAAGAGAGGTTCTGGTAATTTTACATTCCGTAGTATAAACTTGCTAGCTGAACTGATAAGCGACAGGGCTGTCGGAACTACCGGTTTCCGTCGTTGGGTGAAGCTTAGTGCAATTGCTTAAAATAGTGGCGGTGCGGTATAAACCAGTGGAGACGACAGCAGTCAAGGCAGAAGACAACAAAGAACCAAGGGCGGATGTAACTGACACATTGCTTGGTTTAGATACACGTGTATGGTGTCCTGGTTTTCCCGGAGGCTTTGCAAACAGCTTCCATATCGGTGCATTTGGTGCTAGGATGTTTTGAATATCTACTGAAATAGCATATATTTTTTAAATCTACTGATAAAACGGGTTATGGACTGATGATGCTTGTGGTCCGGTAATGTGTGGTCGGTGCAGATGTTGGATTAGTCGAGTGCACTGTGCACTTTCTGTTTCGTATGACCTTGTCTGCTTTTGCCCTGGCGTTTTCCTGTATTTCACACACGTTTGCTTTCAGGCTGTGCCAAACAAATCACGGTACAATAATCTTTATAAAAGAAAAAAAGTTTCATTATTTGCTTGTGGGCGGAATACTGCCAGGCCAAGGCAGGTGAATTTTCTTGGGGAATCCACAATCGGAGACTGGCCCGCAAGTCAGCGGGGCGGTGTGTGTGTGTAAAAATCGCAATCCTTCGGGAGCCGATGTCCGGTTCATCGGATCATCCGCCCTTTGGACTGGGTCAAACGTCCAAGATGTCATGGGTTCGGTATGGAAAAGTGAACAGGTTCCAACGAAATCGGTCTTCCTATTGATTTGCAGACCATCTTGTGAAAAGCACAGAGGAATCAGTTTGATCAGCGTTGCCTC